GTCTGATCCATCGTGTATGATGGCGACTCTATTCGCTACAAAGGTGCAGAATTTGCTGGTCTGATTTGCTATGTACCCCAAAACAGTCGTGCTATCTGTCCAAAAGATTGTGCTATCGATTGGGATTTCCAACTCTCTAACGATGATCCTGTTTATCTTAACTGTGACCGTTGCTGCTGTCAACTCTAGACGAGGAATCGTCTGCCTTTTGAGTGGGGAGACTCGTGATTTTCCTAGCAGGAAGGCACAGTGTTGTTGGTCCCTTTCGTTGGTAAGGCGGAGGTAAGATGCTGTACCATAACCCATTTCAGACGCATCACTGAAGTGGTGTAGCTGTGCTTGTTTGATGTGCCCAAAACTCGGCGGCTGTCCATTTTGAAGTTGATTATTCTGTCCAGGTCGTTCAGCCATTTGTTCCAACGTTCCAGTATTTTCTTCGGAACGGAATCGTCCCAACCGAGTTTCTGTCGGCGAGTTTCTCCGTAAGCGCGACATATAGGAAAAGCATTGCTCCGTTTCTTCTCCTGTGGTGGCAGCGGCACCCTCCTGCCATTTCCCACGCCATAACACCTGAAATTAGTTGTTAAAATAGAATGCATCAAAATACAAATGATATTTATTTAAAAAATAAACAGTCTGCAAAAAGAAAACAAATGCACTTGTTCACTGACAGCAATCAAATTTTAATATTGATATACTTGATAATTATGATCATTGATGACAATAGGCTGAAATTAATAAAAAAGCTTTTAATGTAAATATGCTGTATATTTACTACCATTATAAGTTCATGACATACCTGACAATGCCATGCATGCGCATTGGCATGCATAACACTCAGGAAGGGTTTCATATGCGTGACCAAATCACGCACTTCCTCAGAGGAGGTTGCCTTTCTCTGGAGCCACGGCCAATAGCGGCACATCACATCTGTGCAGAAGAACTTGCTGCCATTTTTACTGGCAACAAGTTTCTGTAGGAATAGGGGGTACGCAAAGACCTCGCCCCTCGTCATACTTATACTGCCCATCATAATGTTATGCCGGCAGGCCACAACTTCTAATCCTGTCTCGTCCAGTGGTCTACGAGATGCAATGTTTACTCTGGCAGCAGTCCAATCACCGCAGGCTGATGTCATTGCCTAACAAAACAAAGCCTGGTTAGAACAATATCTCAGAATATATTTTTGATGCCAGTGATTATACAATTTAGTGTGGAACTATGTAACTGTGAATTTGTGATTGACAGCATTTATCTTCAGGAATGTGTGTAGTGCAGGCTATGGCATCCTATGCTATACAGCCTAGGTTAGACATGGCCATTGAATCCATTAGGGTCTACTGACTATACAGCGATTTGTGTTATACATCGAATGTTATATGTAGGAGAATAGAGTATATCTTATAAAACATAAGTTGTATAGTATACCTTTTCTTTACTGGACGGAACGCTGGTGTAGGCACCAACAAATTCCTGCACCACGTCACTATCCGCCACAAACTTCCCCTCAAAGTATGAAGTTCCCACACCTCTGCAATAAAGAATATGGGTAGTATTTTATTTTTGTTTATAAAATGCATTTTTCAAACGGGTTAACTCAGTTCATTTACAAAAGTTTATGGGCTAAAAGAACAAGCTTTTCAGCATGATTATCTTAATCCTAAATAAAGTTATGTGCCAGCTGTTAGTACAGTAATTTGTTAACAGTAGGTTAACTTAATTCTCTGTTGATGTCTTTGAAAATTATGTAAAAGCAACACAATTGGCTCACCTTGGAACATTTGCGAAACGGTAAAGTTTCATGTTGCCATTGGCATGTGCAGCATGCTGCCCTTCTGAACATGCCGGGTATTGCAAGAAATCCTGCGTAGTGAGCTGGGATAACTCAAACTGGAGGTTTCTCCATTTTCGAAATGCCCGCCTAAATACATGGGTAGGGATGGAGGCCTTCTACAAAAAATGTATACACCATAACTTAAACACTTACAATGCTCATCTCACATGAAGTGTCTGTTTCAGTATGAAATTTTAGATTATATTCTTACAATATGAATTAGGATGATTGAAACTAACCGTTCCACACTCCTTTGACATCTGAGAGATTGCTGACAGAAACCTGGATTCAGGAAACTCAGGGCAGATATTGTGGAAGGAGTTCCACGCTCTGAAGAGTTCCTCTGAGAACACTACCGACACTCGGACTGGAGTACCTGGCCACCATCTGTTACTGACCAGTAACTCCAATGATGGCTGGTGTGTGTTACAGCCACACTCACCAAAGGTGTATCTTGTGAGATACAGATCATATCTCCCTGTATGTACAGTAAAAACGCACCATATACATATGACTGTTATATAAACAATATAAATTATCATAAATCTTGCATTTTTGCATATAAATTGCTATAATGCTATCAAATCAATTGCTAGCTTTATACTGGACATATTTAAACCATTTAGCGTAACAGCCGACACTCCAGCTCCCACCGTCACCTCCTTCTTGCTACTGCCGCAGTCCCCACAGAATGAATCTGTACGGAGGCGCAATGGCAGCACTCTTTCTGTGGAATTAAAGACTACATCATTTCTAGGATGTAACGCCAATACATTATCATCACTGAGTAATTTTTGCGACAATGTGATATGAGCTACCTAGTCAGGAAGGCGAGACATCTTTAAATTAATTTACATAAAAAATATGACATTAAATTCAATTTACAACCCAATACTGGGTTGATAAACTCATATAATTTCTTATTCTCCAGCTAAAATGCAGAACTAGCACGTACGAATAGCAATGATACGATTCCCAACCGGATCGTAATGTTGGCATGTTGTCAACTCAGTCCACTGCCCTTCAGCCTGCATTTTCCTGTCGTGCAATGGATGCTTATTGTGTGCATCGTCGTCACATGCAGCACACAAACACGCATTGCACTGCCGGCAGTATATGGAACCTGCAAACGCATAAATAGTTCTCGCATAACAATGTGTTTGTATTTAGATGGTTGTGTTACATCGTCAAGTCATACGACTTCACATATTCCTATAACAACAAGTATTTCATATTATATTCATGGCAATTATGATCTCTCTAGAAGATTTATCTGCACTTGTTTTTATCAATACTGCAATGTAAGAGCAGAATTACTTCTATGTGTTCAATATGGAGAGATCTGGTAGAGCTCCCGGCCGTCCTCTACTTGGTAATGGCTGGCTAAAATGGCCATTACCTCCATTAGGCCGATGTCTCCTCGCCCCTCCAAATAGGCCTTGACTTGTAACTTCGGCGCTATTGCCCTTACAACGCCTTGGACTAATTCCCTCTCCGTTACCCCTCTCTCTCGGGCCCTGTCGAGCTGATGCTGTACTGACGCATATGAGAGGGTGCTAGGGTCACCCAGCTCACCAATTTTACCCACAATGACAAAGTCCTTCTTGAGGGTGACCGACTCCGGGACCGCGGGCTGCACCTGCAGCTGTCTCTCCATCAGCTGCGTTAGCATTTTGATATGTTCCAGCTGAGTCTCCACCACACGTTGCAGGTCCATGGTAGGTTGTACAGAGGAGGGCGCGGGACTTGCTGTTCCTGTTCCGCGTTCGACATGCTGTTACTCTATTCAGGGGCCCCACGTTGGGCGCCAAATGTTACCGGTACTTTAAGTGTGTATTATCACTATTATCAGTATAAATACCAGTACCTCGGGGTTCAGGCCCCTGTCTTGTGGTTGTCGAACGCTCACGCAAGTATTTCAAATAACAGCAACACTCCTCGAGCAGTTAAAACTTATATGTTCTTTCACAAACACACATTGATTTGCAAAAACGACTTTCTCTCTCCCGCGTCACTTCTCCCCTCACAACACGCACGCCAGCGCCATCTATCGTCAAATAAAACTATAAACGGAACAACTCTACATAACAATATATACTAACCGCTACATATACCCCTAGGGACGTGTCCTAATGGAAGTCCTGCAACATCCCGAACCGTCATTTCCCTCTTCACATCTGTTACCATGTCATGCATTTGGATGCTAAATTCAGTCAAAGGTGGAATCCACACAAGGCATGAATCTAGATCATGTATGTTTGTGTATTCCCTATCGACTGACAATAGAGTCTTTGGATCAGTCATCGGGGGCCGTATATAGTAGTGATGATAGCCCTTTATAACCGCATTTTCTAGTCTGACATTTATTACAGGTGAAGCTAATCCAGACTCAGAGGTGGAAGGCAGTGGCACGAACGGATCACTAGAAGAGGCAGCCTCTGGAATTGTCTCTGAATGAGTGGTCTGAAATTGGAAGAAAAACAAGCATATAATTTCACTTGGTGTCAAATACCTGTCTAAATTTATGATGACATAAGTAATATTAATGTTTACTAATCTAAAATAAAATTAAGCAAGGTGATCTATCAGTATGAAATGAATACAGTGAACATTGAACAAAAAATCATCACAAAACTGATTTGCATATTATGCAGTTGACATTAGGTACACATTTAAAATACACATATCCCTACTCACACCTTGACACATACACTATGGCTGACACTCCGGGCAATAGAAGAGTGCATCGTCTGGTGGAATGTCAACGGTAGAACAGTCTGAGTGTATCCACCCATTACACTCGTCACACTGGACCCACTGGCTTCCGGCTGTATCGTCCATCCACGCCATTTTACACCCTATGCATGTAACATTCTCTTCGGATGTGTTTGCCTTTTGTTTTTTTTGAATGACTTTCTTCGCCTTTATGTATTGCAGCTTTGCCTTTTTCTCCTTGTCAGCAAAAACTCTAATCTTATCTAACTGCCTCGGCACTATTGTCCTAATGCTCTCAGCAGACGTCAAGTTATCAGGCAGGGTGTTCAGCACTGTAACTCGCTTTGGCCTTGATTCGTGAGCACGGGGGAACACAAGGGCTTCTCGCACGGATGGTGATATGTTGTCAGAATGAGGGCTGTTACCGAGAATTTATGCAATAGGTGGCAGCACCACGTAAGCCGGTCTTGCCTCGGGTATTCTAACAATACATTATACAATACACGCCAACCTGTTGATAAATGCTGTCAACATTCTATTGAAATTTGAGAGCAAATCATGCCTGAAACTCTTTGTTGTGTGCCCCAATGCAACAAAAGGGGTGGGCATTCATTTCCTTCTGACAAAGATCTCCGGAAGAAGTGGATAATAGCTATACGTCGAGATAAATGGATCCCGGGAAAATCGAGTGTTGTATGCAGAGCGCACTTTGTGGTCGACGACTACATTTCAAGAACTTACGAATGTAAATATTCTCTGCCGTAACTAAATTGTGGATCCATGATTTCTCTGGGAGTCACTGTGTACATTTAAGTGAAGTGTATGTACTGTTGCTAAATTTGTTGATAAATGGCGATGAAAATCAGGTGAAACCCTGTAATTCCCAAACGTGTTAAAGTTCGATTCAGAATTGTTTATTCTAGTTGGCTTATTAAAATTTCAAGGAGGGACACTTTTAATTAATATTATTATGGCCAGCACATTCGTGTTTATGAGCTACTTAAACAACTAATTTTTTAAATGCAGATGCCTTAAATTTGTTGATTTTTAGTTAAATGATTATCTTTTTTTTCACTGATTTCAGGGTCTTCTCCATTAATAAAGCGGTTAAAAAAGGGTGCTGTGCCATCAGTGTTTCCCTGGTTATCCACTCCATCCCCTACTGTTCTTGAAAGGAGAGAACGGGCTGCGAAAAGATTGTGTACCAAGCAACTATTGTTTGGTCAAAACCTGCAGTCTGATATGATTTCTGGAGACAACATTGAAATCGGCAGAGAAGTCACTATAGACCAGGACTCCAGTGAAAGTGCAGACAGCAGTACAGTAGTTTTGGAGATGGAAGGTACAAACTCGGTGTCAACCCAGACTGCATCTAACCCATTCTCTATTGAACACTTCATAGCTGATGATGCAGATGTTCACTTCTACACTGTATTATTATAATAAAAAAGTGCAGTGTTTAAGTGTCCCGGATCAGTTTTTTCTTACACTGATTAAACTGAGACAACATAAGATCAAATTTGAACTGAGTAGAATGTTTTGTGTCTCAGAATCTACTGTCACAAATATTTTTGTAACTTGGGTGAACTTTATGAATGTTCAGTGGCGTGAAATAGATTTGTTTCCATCCAGAGACTTAGTGAAGTATTTTGCACCATCTGATTTCAAACAAAAGTTCCCTACTACTCGTATATTCATTGACGGTGTTGAATGTCCTGTTAAGAAACCTAGTGCACCCCGTGCTCAGCAGAGCACATTCTCAACTTACAAAAACAGGAATACTGTCAAGAACTTGGTTGGATGCACGCCTGGTGCACTAGTATCCTACATCTCCCCTAGGTATGGTGGCTCTGTCAGTGACCGGCAAATCATCGAAAGAAGCCACATACAAATATCTTGTGACCCAGGCGATTCCATAATGGCTGACAAGGGTTTTAACGTACAGGACTTATTTGCCCCATTCAATATTACTGTCAACATTCCCACTTTCTTTAAAAAAAAACCGTATGTCTGGAGAGTGTGTAATAAAAGACCGTAAAATAGCTAGCAAGAGGGTACACATCGAGAGAATTATAGGATTAGGAAAAACATACAAAATTTTAACTCAACCCATGACCGGTCCTGAAACAAACTTGAGTAGTGAAATCATCTTTATTTGTTACATGCTATGTAATTTCAGGAGTTCCATTGTATCTAAAATGGCATAGTACAAGATGTAAAAGGACCTGTCAATGGATGATTGCTAGCAAGCCCTATATAGAACTGTGTAGTGATAAGAGAATGCATATTTTAAAAATCATCAAATTTGTATATTTTATTCAGCAAAAAAATGTATGTTGTCATTTATATAATATCATCTTCTAATTTTTTATTTGAAGTATGATTGACAATGTGACCCAAGTGATAAAAAGCTAGATTTACTGGAGATATTTACATTTCTATTCAGTAATTACTGCATTCATGACCATGAGTAGAGACTGTAGTCTTTGTAGAAAAATCTTTCGATAACAGCAGTGCGAAAATGTGACTGGAAAAAGTTTTCTAAGCATTTTAATAAACTCATCATCTCTCATGATCCGGATAACTTTCATATCCTTAAACGTAAACACTGTAAAGTCGCACATAGTAGCTCCAGTGCAAAACAACTGGCCCTGAACTTGGTAGTAGTAGTTATGTTGTTTAAGAAGTTTCAGTTCATCACTATAGCTGTCATGAACGAGATATGGGACATTAACTGGGGTAATGGACCGTTCACGTGCTACATATGGGCATTTTATCTAGAACCAACAGATTGTCATCAACAACAGCATCAGGAGATGCAGCCAAGTAAGGGTGAGTAAGGCTAACCACAAGTCCTGAGCTTCTCGTGTTCACATTATTTGTTTCTTCATATTTGGCCAAGGCGATTTTTTCACATCGCTGTCCATGTCGTATTGGGGCGCATTTGATTTTGGTCACAGTTGTAAATGATCTCACCAATTTTCTAAAGACAGTTTTATCTGTGGCCTTACATATGCGGCCAAAGTTGGATGAAGTAAGCCGCTTGCAACGCTCCTCAAACCATGCAGCATTTCCAGTCTGTCCTCGAGTTGTATGCTCTATTTCTGTCCTCTTTTCCTGGGTAATGTTGGTGAGTGAAATAGATGACAAGAAGTCGTTTTGCATTGTATCAAAACAATAGTCGTGGTCATGTGCCACTGCATATGGATTAGCAGGCTTAAACAGCTGGAAAATTGGCGTAGTTGAGACACCTGTTGCATTCAAGCAGGTATTTTGAAAATAGTCTTTATAGCTAAAGTTTCCAGCGTTAGTGTACTTGGGTGGTCTTGGGTCAAAACTTATTCTATGATTTTGACCTTTCACAAGCTGCAGGTCTGTTGATTTTATTGGTGTTCCTCGGTAGGCTTTGCTGTGATGGAAGGTCTGACGTCTCTGTGTACATGTAGTTGCAGCATACACTTCTCCATTTTGAGTGAACAAGTGGAAGGCATACAACACAGCAACAACATGCTTACAGTGAGAACCAGGGCCCATTCCAGCAGCACAGTCACATTGGCATTCAAGAATCACTCTTTTTAACAATTTGATGTCCACAAGATACGATACTGACTTTTTCATTTCTGCACAACATTGGCTATGTATATAGATATCATCTCCAACCACACAAACACGGATATATTTAAGAAAGCGTTCAAGACACAGATTCTTTGCCTTTGAGGTTAAACCTTAGTCATACGATCGGAGGTAGCTGTTGACGCTGCTTAATGGAAAGCTT